AGTTGCCGATACGATACATACATCGATACGTAGGCCATGATACGATACATATCTTGATACAGTGCACTTTTGTTTCAATATGATATATTTCAAATCGATTCAATATGACTCAGTCATGTCTGTGATACTAAGGCCCATCCACACTAGTACGTATTTGAGTTGTTTTCGTTTTGGATGCAGTGTTCGTTCACATTAATCCAATAGAAAACGGCTCCAGAGACGGAAGGATCTGGTGCCGTCAGCTCTCACAAATTCATCTGAGTACAGATCTGATCCGGCACTGTGTGGACGCCTGAAAACACTGATACACTGATGTAGGTCTATGCATCGCAAAGTAGTTCACCGCCAAAATGCTAAGAAGCTAGAATATCTGTCCATTCATATATACAGTCTGTGTGTACGACCTGCAGACGTATAATGTCTGAAAAGTTTAACATGAATCAATCTCCAATGCGATAGAAGCACAGAACAAACTCACCATCAGCAGAACATCCCTCTGTCACAGAAAGAACATTCATATTCTACTGTGTCGTGTCCTTTAGTCCAACAAAAGCTGAACCGCATCAGTGCACAATAGCGAGCTGTTTTTAGAGCGTTCAGTTTATGCAAATTAGCCATGTGAATTTAAGTTTCATTTCTGTAAAATGTAAACAAATATGCTCAAAGCTGTGTGGATAGGGAAGGACTGCGGACACAAAAACGAAGTGTCTGGACACGAATTGTTTCCGTTATGTTGATACGGTGATTTGTTTCAGTGTAAACGTAGTCTAAAAATCTTTGTTACATCGCTTTTTGTGCAAAGTTCATATGAAACACAAACATTTTAATCATCAAAACAATGAAAATGTCAAATGTGTTGCATAAATGAGTTTCCTTCTTCTGAACAAGCAACAAAACTGTAGCTGTAACAAAATAATTTAGTAAAAAACAACTAAAAATACTCTTGGCGATATATCGATTCAGCAGCCCACAATATCAATACTGTATCATCACATTAAACAATACGATATCTCAATATTTTGTGATGTTTGTGATGAGGAAACAACACTATAACATAGATCAGAAAATAGTGCAATATGGGCCCTTTAAACTACTGTGAAACATCTTTGAGGTACTATGAAAACTTTGGATACATGTACTAGTATAACTGGAATTAAAATTTTTTATACATTTAGTTCTTAGAAGAAATTATAAAGTCCCCGAACAAAGCAAAATGTGTCTTTTACAGATACATTGTAAGCAGATCCTGAGCTTAACTCTGCTGTGTACTGTCTGCATCTAATTAAGGCTTTTTATTAATCAGTAAGTGCGTGTTAGCATGCGTTGTTGTTATCCTCACAGCAAAACTTCACTCTTGTCTCGAAAGTTGTGAAATGCTCTTTTAAAATCATCGCGGTGAATAATTACGATGTTGTGAATGCGTAAGGTAAGTGAGGGATAACTTTGGACCACTAAAATGAACTAGTTTTGTTTTTTACTTTCTCTCGCCGCCAACGGGAGATAGATAGAAGCATGCGCACACTCAAACGCCGCTCCATAAACCTTCTGTGTTCAGTGTCAGCCCTCACAAATGTCCATAATTGAATGGAATGAGTCTGCGCGTGAGTTACAGCTGTAATATCTGCCGTCTGTGTGAGCGCGCGGGGGAGCGGCGAGGGGAGCGGTGATAAAGGGGGATTAATTGGAACAGTGAATCACCAATTTGTTGGTTTGAAGAGCCGCGAGACGTTTACGAGACGGCGAAATGACGCGCTATTCATCAGGTAGTCAACGGAGGAGCGTGGGGAGCGCCGCAGCGGGACAAACAGGTGAGGGAGGGGAGGAGGGTACCACGCTCGAGGCTTTTGAAGTAGTTTTGACGGGATTGGTGTTGTCATAGTGTTCAAATCTGAAAGTACATTTGGATACAGTGAGAAATGCCCAACGCTTGATTTTAAAAGTGCACTGTATAATTGCTCTGCCGGGAATGTTCCACAGTATGACATTAAACTAGCCAGGCTAACCCACCTCGTGCCTCCGCTCAATTTCATTTATCTCCAGGGACTAGGTCAGGAATCAGAATACACTTGACGGTTTGCAAGAACTCCGGAAGTTGTAGAACGTGCACCGGCCAATCGACGAAGAGCTGTGAAGCCATGACGTCAAACTCAAGCACCTGTCTGGGTCCCTTTTGTCGTGATGGATGTAGACGAAGACAACACAGAATGCCTGGCTCTTTGCTGATTGGTTGGTGCTTGAACTCGCACTTCGGGGGTTCTTGCAAACCGTCTTGTGTATTCTGATTCCTGACCTAGTCACTGGAGAGAAATTAAACTGAGCGGAGGCACTAGGTGGCACCAGCCTGGCTAAAATTACCAGTGGAACAAGACTTTTTGTATTTAAAATATAAAAATATATCTTACTACACTTAAGATAAGAAAAACAACAACCCTTCGCATTTAAAATAAGAAACAAAACAATTTAATGTTGCTTGAATTAAGAAAAGAGTCTCTTATTCCATTGGTAGATCATATTATATGTACGCTGAATCAATAAAGAATCAAATAAAGTAAAATGTTACAGACATTCTGTGTTGGCAACGATTCCCGAGATCAAGGATTTAAAGCCGGAACAAAGAGAATGTTTGCTGAATTTTATCAAGAAGGACGTTATTGTCCTTCTTCCTACAGGATTTAGGAAAAGCTTAATATACCAGTTAGCCCTGTGAGCAGCGCAGAGATTGGTTACATGAAAAAAGATCTCGTCTACCGAGCGAACGAATCCTAATGCTACGAGGTCAGACAGTTTGTACGAAGTGAAACCGGCTGATGAATCAGGCTAGGTGCTACCAAGTGCCTCCGCTCAATTTCATTTCTCTCCAGCAACTAGAGTGGAATACAACAGACGGTGTGCAAGAACTCTGGAAGGGTGAGTCCACGCACCAGCCAATCAGCGAAGAGCCATACATTCTGTGTTGGCAACGATTCCCGAGATCGAGGATTTAAAGCCGGAACAAAGAGAATGTTTGGTGAATTTTATCAAGGGGAAAGACGTTATTGTCCTTCTTCCTACGGGATTTGGGAGAAGCTTAATATACCAGTTAGTCCCGTTAACAGCGCATTACATACGTCACGATCAAATTGCAGTGACTGGTTAAATTAAAAAAAGCACCCGCCTACTGTTGAGCGAATGAAATCTAATGCTGCGAGGTCAGACAGTTTCCACGAAGTGAAACCGGCTCATGAAGAAGACTAACATTAAACAGCTCTACTTTACATTTATTCAATTACAGATGGTTTTATAGCTCAAAAATATTTAGAAAATCAACATTCTGACTGTGGGTCGCCTCTCCACAGATCTGACCTGTAACTTGGTCTGGTTTGGTCTCCATGAAGATAGAAAGGTTTATATACCAGACTGTGAAACATTCCAGACAAAGCAATAACATCTCCACGGCGAAAAGCGAACCCTTAACTATAAAAGTTACGCAGTGCGCCTTTAATAAAGCAGTGATAATGTACAGCTCCCATCCAGAAAGAGAAATACTTTATTGATCCTGAAGAAAATTCAAGTTCAGCTGTTAGTTAAATTTCCACTGTGCTTCTCTGTCGTCTTTGTGTCTCAGTCAAATGTCTAAGTGCAGTATAACAGGAGGACTGGTCAGGCAGTTGGAGCAGTTTGAGGAGAGGCACAACCCTCAGGACAAAAGTGTTCCTCCTCTATCTCCTGCAGCATCACAACAGCCTCCAGAAAATCCCAGGTGAACACAACAGAAAGCCTCTCCTAAACCTCACTCTTACTCCTCTCTGTTGTTTCGGTTGGTGAAGAAATAGCTTATTCCTTCTCGCTGTATTTCCTCCAGAAGGTCTTTAACTACGTTTGGAGTTAGAAACCGCATATAGTGTAAAAAGCAAAATGTTCATAGCTTGCTTCTTAACTAGCCTCTTGCAAGGTCTCCATGGATACGGGAAAAACAAACAGCTCATTTCACAAAACCCAACAGTCCCTTACTTGTGTCCTTTGAACTGCACATACTGTACTTTTTAGTTGGTTAAAATCCCATGACATGATGTTGTAGACGCTTGAGTAACCAAATGTACTGCAATTACTAGCAGTAGTTTTACACGGTGTATGGTTTCACAAAGTACTAATTATGTATACAAGTATTGCAATAGTAATAGTTTCCATCTAAGCATTTTGCATTACTTTAAAGTTCACTCTTACTCACTTTTAGTACATTTTTATTCACTTGAAAACACGGTTCAATGTAGAGAAGGTTTCAACAGTGCTCATCTGGACACTGTTTTTGTAATCAAGACATTCCGGCTCCCACCCAGAAGCCTTTTTTCGATTTGATGAAACTAGCTTGAGGCGTTACAGTTGATCCTACTCTGAGTTCACTAAGTCCAGCCTGAATCGGAGGAGTTTTAAAGTGAAACTTCCCTCTCGGAAATGATATCAAAACAGATGGTTTTTGTCTGCGGGAGCTGGAATCGCAGCTTTACCAATGATTATTTTTACGTCGAGAGCTGGATTTGAACCGTCAACCTTCGGATCAGTGGAGAAACGCTGCCTGAACTGGAGGAGTTTTAAAGTGAAACTACCCGCTCAAAAAATCAAATCAAAATGGACGGCTTCCATCTGCAGGAGCTGGAATTGCAGCTCTACCAATGATTTTTTTATTTTTTTTTTTTTTTACATCGAGAGCTGGATTCGAACCCCCAACCTTCAGATTAGTGGACAAAAGCTCCTTATGCTGTAAAAACTAAGATCCAACCAAGTTAAGATGAATTGAATTAAGAAAGTTTTATCATGATTTGAGTAAATTTCACTTGACAAGTAAAATTATCATAGCCTGATTCATCAGCCGGTTTCACTTTGTGGAAACCGTCTGTCCAAGCAGCATTAGGATTCATTTGCTCGACGGTTGGCATGTACTTTTTTTTATTTAACCAACCGCTGTTATTTGGTCATGATGTATGCAATGCATCACTAACGGGGCTAACTGGTATATTAAGCTTTTCACAAATCCCGTAGGAAGAAGGACAATAACATCTTTCCCTTTGATAAAATTCACCAAACATTCTCTTTGTTCCAGCTTTAAATCCTCGATCTCTGGAATCGTTGCCAACACTGAATATATGGCTCTTTGCTGATTGGCTGGTGCCCGAACTTGCACTTCCGGGATTCTTGCACACCGTCTTTTGTATTCCGATTCCTGACCTAGTCGCTGGAGAGAAATGAAATTGAGCGGAGGCACTAGATGGCGCCAGCCTGTGTAAAATTATCTACCAATGGAACAAGACTTTTTGTACTTAAAAGATAAAAATACAAATTGCTACACTAAGAAAATCAACAACTGTTTGCACTTAAAATAACAAACAAAAATCAAATGTTGCTTGAATTAAGAAAAAGCCACTTATTCCATTGGTAGATCATTTTATTTGGCACGTTGAATAGACTCAAATAAAGTAAAATGTTCTTAATATGAGTCATTTTAACTTACCTAGATATTGTTTTTTGCAGTGTAGATCAATCTAATCAAAGCTTTTTATTCGCCAGGATGATTTATTAACCAGGAAATGAGCGTTTGCATGCTAGTGGGAGTTACTGTTACCGTCACAGCGAAACTTGACTCTCAGAAAGTCTCAAAGTTGCGAAAAGCGCTAATAAACTCATCGCGGTGAATAATTGCGACACTCAAAATGCGAAAAGTTAAGTGAGGAATAACTTTCTACTGTTGATGTTTAGGTCAAGAGTTGGATTCGAAACGTCAACCTTCGGATCAAAGGACAAACACTGTACCCTTCTTGCAGCCCAAAAACTTCAATCGCACAACTTTTAGACCTAAAACTATCCCCCTCTCCCCAAAACTCCATAACCCGTCAGTGCTTTGAAGTGCCCCGCGATATGACATAACGGTGACTCACAAAGCAGTCGGTGTCCTTGGGGCCCGAGCATCCGCCGGCGCACTCTCGGTGGCAGCAGTCACTGACGTAGGGGCCGAAGCAGCGTCCGTCACACTGCTCGGCGCACACCGTCTTGGTCACTGCATGAACACAAACAGGGGGAAAAAGGAGGAACAAAAGGAGCGGTTATAGAGTTACAGAGCAGGACTTCACACAGGCGCTATCTCCTTCATAAAGCCTCGCGACGCAGACAAATGAGGCGCACAAAGGTTGAACATGAGGGTACAAAAGCATGTTAGGATGGTGCAGGAAAATGTCAACATGGCCTTGGACTTTTAAGGACACCGCATTATGCAGTATTTGTGCAGTTACTGGCCTTTAAAAGTGCTCTGAGGATATTCGCTTTGGAATCTTATGGCTTAGAACTTAACATAAAGATGTGTTATATGGAAGGCCTTTTATATATTATACATATGTTTTCATTTCTTGTACAGTACTGTGTTGTCTTCAATAGTGCCTTATAAATAAAGTGGATATATATATATATATATATATATACTACAATTATTGAGCAGTAAAAACGTCAAAACTAGTTAAAAGCCAAAGAAAACAAAGGACAGTAGTTAAGAATTTTGGACATAGGGCCTCATTTCCTAGTGAGCCAGAGTGTTGGAGACACGTGGAGACACTTTTTGAAATATTATAATATCCATCCAGTCCTTGTATTTGCAGAGGTCGCTGGTGCTAGGCTAGTACATGTCAATGGCCATAGTTAGCCTGCCACTAAAAACAGTCTTACCCACTCCACAAAACAAAACAATTATAACGCCAGACTGTCCATGTAAACATCTGTGTTGATAGAATAAATTTAGAAATAAAACCAGCCTTGCATTTGAAGGATTTATGTCCAAGCAGCAGCAGTGAGTTGTACTTCCTGATAGAAAGCTTTGCAGTGGCGGACTGATACACGAGACAATAGTCCCTCAACATGTGACGATTCATGCGATGCAAGGTTACTTTTATTTCAAACATTATTCTATCAACACAGACATTCACATGGACAGTCTGGTGTAATAATAGATTTGTTTCGGGTGTTTTGTGGAGTGGGTAAGACTGTTTTTACCGTCGGGCTAACTATGGCCATTGACATGCACTAGCGGAGCACCAGCGACCTCTGCAAATACAAGGACTGGATGGAATATTTCAAAAAGTGCCTCCACACGTCTCCAACACTCTGGCTCACTAGGAAATGAGGCCTTATGTCCAAAATTTCAAACTGTCCCTTTAAAAGCAAGAAAAGAGTCAGCTTGTCTTATGTGAATTGGCAACTTATTCTTATATCTTATAATTTAGGCCCCAGCTCTCCTCCAAGCTTCCTCCAGGACTGAGGAACCACGAGCAGAGCCTGGTCAGCAGATCTGAAGGAGCACATTAGCTGAACATAGCAGAACGCTACAATGACACTGAGATGAAGAAAACCATTTTTTTTTAGAACAGAGCCCGTTGGAAGTTGTAATTGCATATATCCAAACTTCTTCCTGGTTTGTGACATCAGTGTGGATAGAGCCTACTGTAATGACGACACAAATGCTTTGAACAAGTCTGCTGGTAATTCAAAGCAGGGATGTCCAAACGGAAATGTTTGTTGGTCAAACCTTCTGCTGAAACGGCCCAAATAATGATAGTCAGTACTTTTTTTTTTTGCATTTAAGTAAGTCTACCACTATAAACTCACATTGGAATTAAACTACAGACCTAAAAAGAATATTCCAAGTTTCATTTAAGGTGCAGTGGATCTATAACAGCTTTGTTAAATGCATCCAGTATATTTAGATGTGTGGCCCCTCGGTGAAAAAAGGTTGGACACTTCTGATTAATAGACAGAGAAAACATACCTTTTTGCGTCTCTTATTTAGTTACTAGGGATGTAGCGATATCCAAATCTCACAATATTTTCACGATATTTATTGCAATATTTTGTGCAGGCTAACAAAAACGTCTTTCCTCTTAAAATTCCTTGATAAAACGTAAAGAACTAAGATTTAAAAGTGCTTAAAACAGTTACTTCTTCATGTAGTATATGGAGTAAAGGATCATGGTCTGTGTAGTTTCCTCTGTTTTTGTAGCTCTTGCTTTTTCGTTGGGGACCCAATACCAGCTTGTTTCTATGGAGATGCCATTGCTCTGTCTGGAATGTTCCACAGTGTGACATTAAACAGCTCTACTGAACATTTATTCAATTCCAGGTGATTTTATAGCTCAAAAATACTTAGAAAAACAAGCATTCTGACGGTGAGCGGGGTTGCCTCTCCGCAGATCTGACCTGTAACTTGGTTTAGTTTGGTCTCAGTGAAGATAGAAAAGTTTAATGCCATACTGTGAAACATTCCAGACAAAGCAAGAACATCTCTACGGAGAAAAGCATTTGACAGACCTTCTGGCAGAAAACTTACACCATGCACCGTTACAAAAATGGTTGGAAATATAATAAAAATTTATGTTTTTCAAGGGATTTCCAAGCAATAAAAAGCTGTTGTTTGATTAAATTAATGCTCTACAGTGGAACATTCCAGCCAAAACAATAACATCTCCATTGGACAACCGTACCTTTCACCAGACAGTTAATATAATATGTCTTTAATCTTTTACCAATTAAATATTTTCTTCTTCTCTTTTTTTGTTTACTGTTTTAGTCATCATCTTTTATTGTATTTATTTTTCTTCCTTTTTTGAACACTGCGCCTCTTAAATTCTAATTTGTGTGGCTCAGTGCTGTGCTAATCCTTCTGTCGAATAATATTAATGACAGTATGTTTGTGGAGATTAGCCCAGATGTAGGCCAGTATTTGAAAGGATTAAAGTCATATTTGTGTGTACTTAAATACCGCCTATATACACCACATTAAGTACTATTATATTTGAAAATGTGGACTGTACAATAGCCATATAATCCAAAGAATCTAAATCAAAATGTCATTTTTTTAAAAGAAATAAGGCAGAATAAATATACTTTAACTATACATGGGGTTTAGAAAAATAGAAAATAGAAAAATTTAAAATTAGCACTGTTGCCATAGCGATTAACAAAATATATATAGCAAAATACACTAATATATGTATTGAATGAGAAAAAAATCTTAATATTTTTTTAATATAAAAATTAGATATTTCTTTCTTTTTTTTTTGTTAACATAAGGCAGAATAAATACACCTTAACTATCCATGAGTTTCAGAATGATAAAAAATGAGCACCATTGCCATAGCGATTAACAATATACATAACAAAATGCTGTAATATATGTTTTGAATGGGGAAAAGTCCTCAAAATTTGGCCTAAAAAAACAAGATCATTCTTTCTTTCCTTTCTTTTTTTGTAAAATAAGGCAGAATAAACACATTTTAACTATCCATGAGTTTCAGAATGATTAAAAATTAGCACTGTTGCCATAGCGATTAAAAATATATATAACAAAATACAGTAATATATGTTTTGAATGGGAAAAAGTCCTCAAAATCTTGCATATAAAAATAAGATATTTTGTTCATAAAATCAAAACTCGATTTTCTTCTTTATCTTTTTTTTTGTTTTTTTTGTTAAAATAATACAGAATGAACACATTTTAACTATCCATGGTTTCAGAATGATTGCAAAATGCATGAATGGGGAAAAGTCCTCAAAATTTTGCCTTTCTTTTTTTTTTTTTCTTTTTTTTTTTTTTTAAATAAGGCACACACTTTAACTATGAATGGGTTTCAGAATGGTTAAAAATGAACACTGCTGCCATAGAGATGAACAATTTAAAGCAAAATACAGTAATATATGTTTTAAATGAAAAAAAATCCTCAAAATTTTGCAAATAAAAATTTGATATTTTGTTCATAAAATCATAAATACATTTTCTTTTTTAACTTTTTGTTGTTAAAATAACACAGAATAACTATCCATGGCTTTCAGAATTATTAAAAATTAGCACTGTTGCCATAGTCGTATGTTTTGAATTGGAAAAAGTCCTTATAATTGTTGCACTAAACAGGAAGCAATTTTTTAAATTTATTTTTAATTTTTTTCATATTAAAAATGCAATTTGTAACTTTTCTGGTGTAAGCTCTGTCACCTCTTTGTCTCCATGGAGATGTTATTGCTTTAGAATGTTCCACAGTATAGCATTGCACTTGTCAATCTCCAAAGAGATGAGCAAGTGACATGAAGCCAAGTTGCATGCCAGATCTACGGAGAGGCAAGCCCGCTCACACTGTTTTGTGACCGTGAGCGGGGTCGCCTCTCCACAGATCTGACCTGTAACTTGGTCCGGTTTGGTCTCAGAGATAGAAGGTAGAAATGTTTAAAGCCATACTGTGAAACATTCCAGACAAAGGAAGAACAAAAAAGCGTTTTTTTCTGGTGGAAAAGTTACACAATGCATCTTTACAAAATGGTTGGAAACATAACAAAATTCACAAACTATACATTTTCCACAGTATTTCTTGAGCAATGAAAACACGTAGAATTGAATAAACGGGACATAGCTGGATTTAATGCTATATTGTGGAACATCTAGATCTCCATGGAGACAGACAATAAAAGTGACTTTTATGAAGTTTTAGTCATGTTATAATGTTGTTACCTCCCCAAAAACAGACCTGGAGTTGTGTTTTGTTTCATTCACGCACATTTGAGTAACCCTGCATTATTAGTCTGTCTCTGTGTTCCAACTTGTGATGTCATTAGGTGGTAGTTTTCAAGTTAACATCTACATTTTACTTTTAGTTCAGTAGAGATTGTCAATTCATGCTGTCTGAAATCATCCAAACGTTTCTAGTGAAGGTGTATGGAGTATAGTGGAGCACTTTCTGTATCACCACATGACATCACAAGGTGGAACATGGAGGGTTTTCTCTTTGAAAGTTGAAGTCAGGGTTTTAACGCTGAGTGAATGCGGAGGCAGATTTCACATTGACCTTACAGTGATGTTCTAGAAGTGTATAGGTGAGAGCGTACACGACCTCTCGGCCCCCGTACACGTGCACGCCCAATAATCCGCCGTAATCTATCTACAGGCAGGGTCACCTCCAGGGTCAAAGGTCAAGGCGGAGCGAGACGGAGGCGGAGGAGAAGCGACGGTACATACATGTCATAGTGCGTACGGTGAAAGAGTACAGCAGTAAAAGAAGACAAGTCGAAGTAAATACGTAAAAGATAAGATAAATACATAAAATATATAAAAAATACAATAAAATAAAGAAATAGTGATAGATGTATGGATAGTAAATCATTAAAAAAAAAACTCTATTCCCTTTTAATTTTAATTTTATGATGATTATCGTGTGCGTATAATTTGTTTGAGATTTGTTTTTATTGTGATTTTCATGCCTTTCTTATGGCGTAAAAATACTTTGTGTACGAATAGTGCTATACAAATAAACTTATCTTGTTCTGCCTTCAATAAATTTACCAAAATTAATTAAAATGTAATACAATTAAATAAAATTAAAGTAAACAAATTAAAATAAAACATTAAATATGCATGATGATTTCAAGAGATTTTTTTTCAATGTTTTTTTTTTTTAAAGTTATGACAATATATTTGATCTTTTTTTTTTTCTCAATTTTTGTTTTAAATTTTGTTCAAATTTTTATATTTATACATATAATATATGTGTGTGTGTTCTTTTAACATTTTTTTTATTATTATTATTTTTTATGTTTATTTTTTAAGTTATGACAATGCACTTGATCATTTCTTTTTGAAAACAACTTTTTTTTTGGAGATGGATCAAATAAAAATAAATAAATTTTCCAATAATAAATATATTCAAAAAATAAATAAATATTTTGAAAATTGAAACTTCAATAGGCTTTGCTTTAATTTCGTGATGGGTATTTTGGGTAAAAATAAAAATAAATAAATAAATAAAAATAAAACAAATACAAAAAAAGTGTTGTGAAAATAAGTCTTGGACTAACTATTGCTGTGCCCTTAAGCAAGACCAGTCCAGTCGCCCAAGCTCTGAATGTGTTTGTGGGTTGCCTTGGCAACAGTTTGGGGATTTTCAGATTGATTCATTTCCTGGCATTTTTATTTGAAATGCCAAAAATGAAAACCCAGAATGTTTTACCTGATCAGAAAGCCATGAGCACGTTATATTACGAAAAGTAAATTAAACCTGCAACATCATTTTTTTAATACGTAGGCCTTCAGAATACTGCAATGTCTTCAAAAATAATGAAACTTTTTAAGCATAACATTGTATCTTCTGAATGGTCCAACATATAATCTGAAGTACCTTTGTTAATACGCAGTTCCTGATCTCTTCATTAAGTACTTACTCAATCTTAATACATTATTTGTTCATTAAAGAGTGTAATTAGAGCAGTAATTCTAACACGTTGCCAAATAAACTTGAGTGCGGTTGTTAATTCTCACCATTCGCATCTAAACCCAAACATACACAGTATTTTAATTGGTTATATATTTTGTAAAGTGGACTCTTGTGAGATTTAAGTCATGTTATAATGTTATTACCTCATCAAAAACAGACCTGGAGTTGTGTTTTGTCTCCTGTATTATTAGAATGTCTACATCCCCGAAGCCAGTGGTGTCGTGGGAATTTTTTAAGTGAAATCACATACCAGGACCAGGACTAAACTAGGACTGAACCATGACAGAACCAGGACTAAACCAGGACTAATGTTGGACTTGAGACAGAGAGGGAGAACCCTGAGCCCGTGGAGCAGGGTGTCCACAAAGTGTGACTGGGTGGCGGCTGCGCAGAGCTCTGCACCTTTTGCCTGCAGTCACCCAACACTCTATGCAGGCTCAACTCTGGGCCCGTTCCTACACTCAGTCCTGGTTCAGTCCTGGTTTAGACCTGGTTCAGTCCTGGTCCCTCATGTCACATATAGGACTACTCAGAATGCTCTGTTCCACCTTGTGATGTCAGTAGAGATCGGCAATTCCAGGGCCGAAATGATCCAAATGATTCTAGTGAAGGTGTGTGGCGTTTAAAAACACAGTGGAGCACTACTTGTATTACCACATGACATCACATGTTTGAGTTTGAGAAAATGATTTAGCTTAAATCTGTAAGATTTGTGTGTTAAACATGCGTGAGTGAAACAAAAAACACAACACCAGGTTTGTTTGTGATGAGGAAACATTATAACATACACTTATTTTGCATATTGTATCTGTTATAACATTCGCTTGTGAGAATTAAGTCATTTTAAAAAAAATTGTTTTATCGCACAAAAATTCTGTTGGAATTGAAAAAAAAAAAATGCATTACTGATCACTACCCTATACTATATATATATATATTACCCTATACTACTACAGTGTCTACACACATATACCACAAAACAATTACATTTTTTATTGTGTTTCATTTTTCATAGTTTTTACAATGAATTTCCTCCACTGAAATCACTACATCCAATCTGAAAACAATGTGAGTTTTTAAACACTGCAAATCCTTCATATCGAGATTGGAAAATAGTCCAACATGGGCCTTTTAAAGTGATACATAGAGACATTCTTTTATTCAAACTTTCTTTTTTTTCATACTTACACATCTGACACTGGTCTTCCTGATGTCCCCAGCACCTTCCATTACAAGAACGATGACAACGCCGGCCTGCCAAAGACAAAAAAATACAAAATTCAACTCAGAACTTACAATTTCTGAGAGTCCCCACAACTCCACCACGCCCCCTAGCTGTCAATAGATGATGTCATTACATACGTTTGGTCTCCATGAAGATAGAAAGGTTTAATGCCATACTGTGAAACATTCCAGACAAAGCGAGGGTCTTTAGAATGTTCTAAAGTATAGCATTGCACTTGTCAAGGCCAGATCTGTGGAAAGGCAAGCCCACTCACACTCAACATGTTTTTCAAGGTATTTCTTAGGAATAAAAAGACGTTGAATACAGTGGTGGAAGAAGTACTCAGTTGTGTTACTTAAATAAAAGTGCAGATACCAGAGCAAAAAAATAAATACTCAAGTAAATAAAAAAAACTAAATATATCACATGAAAAAATCTATTTATAAAAGTATTAAAGTGTACTTAAAGAGTAAAAAGTCAAAATATTTAGTGCAGATTTTGAGATCTAATGAAGCTTCAAATGTGGTGATTTTTGATACCGCTTCCCCAACCTGTGACAGGACCGCCCCCACCACGCTCATGGAAGTGCCTTGCAAAAGGACACAACAAGTGAGACTCAAACTTCTGACCCTCAGGTTGGTGGATTCGAACCAGATCACTTCTTCAGACGATGTGGAGAAACGAGGAGATACGAGGACTTTGTTTTAACAGTTTTTTTGTTTGTTTTATTTTTCGTTTAATTTAATGCCCCGCTGAGGACCATACCACAGTAGTCTCCATGACAACCAGAAAAGTTACACAGTGCATCTTTAAAGGTCCAAACTTCAACTCACAACTCACACTCACTTCTGACAAACTTTAAGACTCCACCACATCCCCTAGTTGTCAGAACCTCTCACAACGTCCAATTCAAACTTCTCTGCTACGAAACTTCTCCCACCTGTGACAGGACCGCCCCTGCCACACTCATGGAAGTGTCTTGCAAAAGGGCACAGCAACTAAGACTCAAACTTCTGATGTTTTGGTTGGTGGATTCGAACTAGACTTCTTCAGACAGTGTGGAGAAATGATGAGATACGAGGACTTTGTTTTAATAGTTTTTTGTTTGTTTGTTTTATTTTTTGTTTAATTTAATGCCCCACTGCGGAACATAGCACAGTAGATAGTCTCCATGACAACCAGAAAAGTTACATAGTACATCTTTAATGGTCCAACCTTCAACTCACACTCATTTCTGACAGTCCCTACCGTCCCTTAGCTGTCAGAAGTCGTCACAACGTTCAACTTAAACTTCTCCTCTATGAAACTTCTCCAACCTGTGACAGGACCGCCCCTGCCACGCTCATGGAAGTGCCTTGCAAAAGGACACAACAAGCAGGACTCAAACTTCTGACCTTCAGGTTGGGGGATTCGAAACAGACCACCTCTTCAGACGGTGCGAGATACGGTTCAGATACGAAGACTTTTTTTTTGGTTTTGTTTTGAATTTAAGTTAATGCCCCACTGCGGAACATACTGCAGCTCTAGAACCGATCTCCACGACAGCCAGAAAAGTTACACAGCGCATCTTTAAACGTCCAAACTTCAACTCACAAGTCACACTCACTTCTGACAGGCCCCGCGACTCCGCCACGCCCCCTGGCTGTCAGAACCCCTCACCACGTCCAACTCAAACTTCTCCGCTCGGAAACTTCTCCAACCGGTGACAGGACCGCCCCCGCCGCGCTCGTCCGTACAATAGCGAAAAGCTGAGCGTGAACGACAAGCCAAAGTGGGAGCTGACAGAGCGCGCCATCGTCATCCGCTAATTGACTACGGGTTAATTATACGGGGAAAGTTGAGTGGTGAAGTGGGGCACGCCTGTTGTGTGTGTGCGCTTGTTAAATCCCAAATACGCCTTGGCACCGCGGATCGGATCTGGCACCCCCGTCGCCAACGCGCGGCTCGTTTTGTCGATTATTTTCTCGTTATTTGCTTTATTTTCGGATGGCCTCGCTTTGTTCCTCCGCCCTTCGCCTGGTCGTCAACAGAAGGACATTAAACGGAGATTCTGAAATGGTTTTGAAAAGTTGGATGAAGTGGACGTTGGTTTTCCTCTGTGTTCTGGAGGTTAGGAAGAGGTTAATAAGTGGAGAGACTAAAAGCAAAACTCATATTCTCTTTTTTGGGTTTGGGCTCTTAATTTACAAAAAAACAGTCCAATCTGCACGTTATTTTTAAGGATCAGCTCTTAAAGTAGCACCTACACCGAACTTTACTCATGAACGTAACAACATTTTCACGAAATGTACCGAAGGATTTTTTGATATCTAATTCCAAGTCTGATTTATTCAAGTTTTAACTCAAAAAATTAGGCAGAATTTGAATTTTTTTTTGGGCACATTTTTAGTCAGAACGAGTTTACTCAAATACTAAATAAAATATGCAAAATCCCCTATGTATATTTTTTCTGTATCTAATCTGTCAACAAAAAGAAGCAACGAATTTAAACTTTCTTTTTTCTTGTTTCTGTTTTGAATTATCTCAAAAAATGCGCAGTTTTGGCCATTTTTACAAATAAAATGCTTTAATTTTTTCTGAAAATATTACACGAAGAAAAACATTCAGTCAGTCTAAACAGTCATGCATTATTTTCTTTGATTTATGTTCGCAAACTGCAAGAGAAGTTTCAAATTTATTTATCTGAGATTTTTTTCATGACTTGATTCTTTTTTTTTTTTTCTTGAGACCTGCAGGGCCCCATGTCCCGGACAGATTTTTGACTCAAAAGTTACACACAGTTTTTTTTTTTTTTAAATAACACTGAGAAATATTGTGTTGGGTAGACGCGATTAGAAGAGATGAGACGCCAGATTCCAGATGATTCCAAACACCACATACGTCTGCAGTCGTCATTTTACCACTGATCACATTTACTTCAGTGGGTTTGATCACAGTCGGTCGGTGAGTTCAGTGTCGGGAACTACACCGGAAGTTGTCATCGCATGTTTTTAAACGTCTTCCTGGTTTGTGACGTACGCGTGGATAGAGCTTATTTAGATCTGATTTGCCGTACGTTACATAGACCTGGTTTAGCAATAACAAAAAGAAAGCATTTGATTTATTGTCACTATATATTCGCACACAAGTCTTAATGTGCATAACCAAAGAATCAAAACATAAAGAGAACACGACTGAACCCATAGTCCTGGTTTAGTCTGGTTTACGATGTCTTTGTTGAGTTCTAGTCCTTATTTAGAACATTTTGTGGTGGTTTTGACTTTGACTTGATTTTGTCATAGTTCTGTCCTTCTTTAGATTTGATTCAGGTCTGGTTTTGTGCAATGGAAATGTCTTGCCAAAAGACACAACAAGCAAGAATCAAACTCAGGTTGATGGATTCTAATGAGACCCAGCTAACCCCTGAGCCACTAATTGGCCCTTAGTCCTGGTTTGGTCTGGTTAGAACATGGTCGATTCTAACCTTCAGATTGGTAGATTCTAACCTTATTTTAGATCTTTTTTTTGTGATTTTGACCTGATTTGTCCTAGTTCTGTCCGTCTTTAGCCGTAGGTTTGGTCCAGGCCTGGTTTGTGTCCTTGGGGTGTCTTACCAAAGAACTTCTGACCTTCAGGTTGGTCAATTCTAACCTTCAGATTGGTAGATTCTAACCTTATTTTAGACAGTTTCGTTGTGATTTCAACCTGATTTTGTCGTAGATTTTTCCTTCTTTAAGTGTAGATTTGGTTCAGCCTTGATTTGGTGTCATGGAAGGGTCTTACCAAAGAACTTCTGACCTTCAAGTTGGTCAATTCTAACCTTATTTGAAACAATTTTGTTGTAATTTCGACCTGATTTTGTCCTAGCTCTGTCCTTCTTTAGCCGTAGATTTGGTCCAGACCTGGTTTGTATCCTTGAAATGTCTTGCCGAAGAACTTCTGAACTTCAGACTGGTAGATTCTAACCTTATTTTAGACAATTTTGTTGTGATCTCGCCTGGATTTTGTCCTAGCTCTGTCCGTTCTTTAGCCACAGATTTGGTCCAGACCTGGTTTGTATCCTTGAAGTGTCTTGCCACACTGATTCTGAACTCCAGGTTGGAGTTCTAACCTTTAGACTGGTAGATTCTAAACTTATTTTAGACAGTTTTGTTGTGATTTTGACCTGAGTTTGTCCTAGCTCAGTCCTTCTTTAGCCATAGAGTTCATCAGTTTGCCTTGTGACACACGTGACATGCCCCTATTCCTGGGAAAGATCTCGAGCAAGGATTCCAAATCAGAATCCAAGTTGGCTACGCCCACTGTGATGTGTAAATATGAACGGTTTTCATTGTGTTTGGGCACTTTGGTTGTTTAAATGATCATTTCAGTCACTTTTATCACTGCAATACTTTACTGCGTCTGTATCACTGCCTATGGGTTTGGTAATCGGTGTTGTGGTGAGGCCAATATTGAACAAATATTTGATTTAACGGGCATTAACGTCCATAAGGTTGTAACAAAAGAGAAATCATAAAATGAAGTGCCAATTTCAAAATTAAAATTAATTAAAGCAGTCGCATTTTCATAAAAAGAGGGAACAGTCATAATCATAATCCACATAGTCCCACATGTGAAACATAATAATACGCTTCAAACTCGGACGTGACATCAAATCCGAGGTCCAAGTAGGAGTTGGAAGATAATCGAATGCAGATTTGGTCCAGCCCTGGTTTGTATTTTCCGTGAACCTTTCTTTTTTTGTCATTTGGACCTGATTTCTTCCTAGATTTGTGATTTTTGTATCCATAATTCCAGGTCCTGGCTTGGCGCTTTTGACATCCCTGCATCTTTTGGATAGATCACAACATAAAACACTTTTCTACCGTCTACTGTCTAATTTCCAGAACACAGATGCTCCCTTCATGCAGTACTACTTCTGTATTTTTGATCTCTCCGTGTTGGCATGCCCGGAGTACTGCACAGTAGCGGGCGGAGAGTTTGCGCGCTAATAACAGGCATTAGCCCAAAACGACTTTACTATGTGCCACTTTGCGCGTCATCCAACCCCATCCCTCCCTGAAACAAAAGGTCGACATCGGTCCCCGCCCCCCCCCTCTCCCTCCTCTCTGCATGTGCCTCGCCGATGGTGCCACAGCTGTCCCTATTGTTCCCAATGACATGTTTTTCAGTTTGCGTCACCCGCAGAGACTGGGCTTCAAATGAGCAAGGAACTGGTGCGAGAATATTTATGAGTCTTTTTTTTTTTTGGTGCTAGAAACTTGTTTTTTCTTTCTTTTATGTTTTTTATTTTTGTAGTTTTGACTCATTTCAATTTAGATAAGTTGATTCAGCTTGTTTATCCACTAAAGCTTTCTGTCTTAGCAATGATTTAACATTAAGCAAAATAAGATTTAAAAAAAAAAAAGAAAAAAGATAAAAAAATTTAAAATTATAATTTAAAAAAATGATAAAAGCTTTCTGTGTTAATAATAGTGTAGCATTAGATTTAAAAAATATAAATACAATTAAATAAAATTAATAAACCGCTCGAAACGTCTTATCAAATTCAGAATATAGACGTAAAATGAAATTGAAGGTGTATCTCCGTGGAGGTGTTATTTCGTTATAAGTTGCACATTATGGCATTAAACTTACAAATTGCCATGGCGACAAGAAGGTGATGCTCCCATACCAAGTTACGAGTCAGATCTGTGGATAGGAGGCTCCACTGACAGTAAGAGCGCATGTATTTTAAGGTTTTTCTAAGCAAATAAAAGAACTAAAATGACAAAAATAGCTTCACAGATATGTTTAATGCCATAGTGAGGAATATTCCAAGCATAGTACTAACATCGTCATGGAGACAAGCAGCTACCAGACTCCCAATCAGGAAAGTTATGCAGTGCACCTTTGCATATAAACTTCATAACTTACAATTTTTTTTTACAAGTTTTACGATAAAGTCTTTTTAACTCTTCAAGACCTAAGGGCAATTTTAGTTTATTTGTCCTTGCCTGGATTTTTTTTCTTCATGTTGCTATTAAAACTCCCAATTTTACCCCCTAATGAAGTGTTATACATCCTTTTTTTCAGTACAACCTGTTATTTCACAATCTGTTGCTGTAATTGTGTCATATGTTTGTAATAAAAGCTATAGGACCAGAAATACAAATGTAAAATGTAAAATAAAATTCACACTCTTTCATGCAAAACACACAGCAAACATGTATACAACAACTTTTTGGACTTAAAAAAGTCTAAATCAGGGCCTTAGCTAGCCTGATTCATCAACCGGTTTCACTTCGTGGAAACTGTCTGACCTCGCAGTATTAGTATTTGTTCACTTGATGTTAGGCAGGTAGTTTTTTTTATTTAACCAATCGCTGCTATTTGGTTGTGACGTATGTAATGCATCGCTAATGGGGCTTATTGATATATTAAGCTTTTCCTAAGTCCCGTAGGAAGAAGTGCAATAACGTCTTTCCCCTTGATGAAATTCACCAAACATTCTCTGTGTTCTGGCTTTAAATCCTCAATCTCGGAAATCTTGGTTGGATTGGCTGGTGCCCGAACTCACACTTCTGGGGTTCTTGCAAACTCTCTAATGTATTTCGATTTCTGACCTAGTTGCTGGAGAGAAATGAAATTGAGCAGAGGCACTAGGTAGCACCAGCCTGGTCTAGGTCTTAGCTACAAAAGTACAAAATATCTAGTCTATGAGTAAACTCAAAATATCCTCATTGCCTCAAAACAAAAAAAAAAAAAACAAAAAAAAAGTGCAATGGCCCCTTTACTTTCCTGGTGTCAGTTACGGAAACAGCTGGTGTAAGGTCCAGGGCACAGAGCCACATCACTTCCTGCATTTCCAGTGGTGGAGTTTGCAATTTGCGGGCCTTAGGCGAATTTGAGTTGACTATCATGCAACTTTGTTTTGTTTTTTTTTTGTTTTTAATATATTTAATGTAGTCTGTCATGCACATCTCTATTTATTTGAATTATGGTAGATTAGAAACTTGTCTTAGTTCAGTCGCCTACTAGATAACCAGAACTGAAAGTAGTTTTATTTTTTTGCTGGTACAGTTACATTTTTATTTAATTTTTTTACATCCATTACATATAATTATTATAATTTTTCTCATGATTATTGTTTAAAAGTAAATACTCTCATTTAATGTCATATTGAGAGAAAATCAAATTGCTCTGAGGCCTCGGTCATTAGTGGCACTGAGGGCAATTGGTTGGGGGCCCCTCCAGGTTTGGGGGCCCTAAGCAGCCGCCTACTTTTGCCTAATGGTAGCACCGCCTCTGTGCATTTCCATGGTGTTTATTACATTTGGATTTGTACATTTTGAGTCAAATAAATCTTTCAAATGAAAATAGCAAGAGATGCGCAATGACGTAAACCAAGACACGCAATTTGCCATTTATTTGAGAAATAACTGCAGATATCACTTGTTTTTCTTCACGATTCATCAGGTTTCTGTCTTTTATGGTTGGAAAGTTATGCGCAGTTATACAAAACATATTCCTAGGTATGGTATTGTGCAGCTTTTCCACAGAATAAGACCCCATGAAGACACGGGGAGGGCATCTGACACAGCACAGGGACATTTCAGAACACATTTGTACAGATCTAAACCACGGGGTTGGGAATTTTCATACAGAATAAGACTTCAATAAAAATGTTGTTATTTTTGAAGATATTCAAGTTGCGTTTTTGATTTGATTTGTGATCCATTATTCTAAAATCAACTGATTTCAACTTCCAGTGTTCTATTTTTAAATTGAAAACTTAAATCCCAAACTATAAACAACTCGAAGTGGTCGCGGAACAGCAGTGAAGAGATCGGGAATACAGTCAAGTGCCCCTAACTAAGTGTCACATTGGATTTGAGAAGGACTTGGCCAGGAGAGAGCGGGCTCCATAGGCAGCGCTGGTGGACAGGCAGGGCGGTGGGGTTACATGGGAAACAGACACCCTGATCTAACTCTATGTGATGGTGAACCAAATGACCACGGGCTAAACAGAGTGGATGAGGAGGACGGGGTTTGACTGGTGCACGGGACGCAGGGAGGGAGTAATAAATATTTATACTCGCTTCTAGAGATAGTAACGGGGTGACCAACAATAGAATGAAGTACTAAACCAAATTCAAATAAAGGTGCGCTCTGTAACTTTTAGATTGGGGGTCCGTCAAGTGTTTGTTTCTATGGATATGTCATAGCTTTGTCTGGAATGTTCCACAGTGTGACATTAAACAACTCTACTTTGCATTTATTCAATTACAGATGGTTTTATAGCTCAAAAATACCTAAAAAAAACAACATTCTGACTGTGAGCAGGGTCGCCTCTCCACTGATCTGACTTGTAACTTGGTCTTTGTTTGGTCTCCATGAAGATAGAAAGGTTTAATGCCGTACTGCAGAACATTCCAGACAAAGCGATAACATCTCCACGCAGAAAAAGTATTTGATGGACGCTCCAACGGAAAAGTTACACAACGCACCTTTTTTTTCTTCCGCTGTTGAAGGTTTTATAACTCAAAAGTACTCAAAAGTACTCAAAAGTACGAAGAAAAACAGGTGTTCTGGCTGTGAGTGGGGTCGCCTCTCCGCAGATCTGAGCTGTAACTCGGTCTGGTTTGGTCTTCATGAAGATAGAAAGGTTTAATGCCATACTGTGAAACATTCCAAAGCGATAACATCTACATGAAGAAAAGCATTTGACAGACCCTGCACCAGAAAAGTTACACAATGTTCCTTTAAATATGCAACTTTTCTGGTGGGGTGGTCTGTCACCATGGAGATCTTTCGCTTTGCCAGGATAGTTCAGTTGCGTTAACCATATGTAACAAGCAATTATTGTATTTATTTATTTTATTTTTTTATTAAATATACATGCAATGCAGTACAAAAACATACATGAGGGTGGGCTCGCCTCTCCACAGATTGACCTGTAACTTGCTTGTTTCCATAGAGACAGATAAATTTGGATATTGCATTTATTTTCACTGATCTGCTTTTAGTGCTTTCTGTCTGAATTAGAATTGTTAAAAATTTCAAGTAACTATGGACCTCTGTCAGGTTTTTTTTTATTTTGGTACAAGACCTTCTAGAGCTCGGGTGTCAAACTGTCAAACTCAAATTCACAGAGGCCAAAATTAAAAACGGGACTGAGTCGTGGGCCAAACTAAAAATTTACTCAAAATTTTCAACATTTCAACATCGATTTCAAAACAAAACAATCAATTTCAAAACAATTTCAGCATCTGCGTGTTTTCTCTTCTTTTGAGATATCATTTTAAACCTTTTCTTATTAATATAAATGTTTAATCATAGTTTTGCTTGAACTAAATAATAACAACATTTTAAATAAATAATGTCTCTATAGTCTATCTGTAACCGGCGGGCAGCTTTAATACATATTTGATATGATCTCGCGGGCCAAATATAATTATATTGCGAGCCAAATTTGGCGCCCGGGCCTGAGTCTGACGTTTCTGTTCTAGAGGAAATACTTTTATGGGGTGGGCTGTTTCATCACTAACTGAAACAACAGAGGGAAACATGAAGGAGGGACACTGTGATGACAGAGCAGCAGGACATAGACAAGGAACATGTGTTGTCCTGAGGGATGTTACTCTCCTCATGCTATCGTGATGGCCCTACATGACATGTGCTCCTTGTATACTACAATGAGAGCTTTAACTGAGACACAAAGGTCACTGAAAATGAAGTACACTGCCCAATCTGTCCGTCCATCCTCGTCCCATGTCATACTTACATCCCAGGTTGCTGTTGTTGGAAGGCACCACCAGAAGCTCGGCCTGGGGGTTCTTGATGATGTCTCTCCAGTGGATGGTGTCGGCGTGACACAGGAACTTGTTCTGGTCCACGTAGACTCCACCGTTCAAGATTTCTACAACAACAAAACAAAACAAAATGCAATTAAAACCTGTAGCATTTCGATTTTGAGTGAAGTTTAATAAAGTGGACACAAGTAAGAGGTGAAAAGAACACATATTATGCATTGTAGTGGCTTCAGTTCGCTTTTAAACATGTTTTTGATCACTTTAGTTTACGGGCTTAAAGTGGTCTGGAGTTTTATCTATGACGCAACAATCCAGGGAAAATGTGAACGGAGAATTTTTGAGTGTTTCCAAAAGATTTAAAATTTATGGTTTAATGAAACAAGTGTGAACGAAACAAAATTAAACTCGAGGTATGTTTTTTAAAAAGTAAAATTTCCACAGAATACAGTTTTCTTTAAATAAAATAAATAATAATAATAATAATATTAAATTGTAGTAATACATTTTAGTTAGTATTATTATCATTATTTTGTATTTTATTTTATTAAATTTCTGCAAAAAAACAAACAAAAAAAAACAAGTAACTAAAACTCACTAATTAGATAAAAAAAATATATATATGTAAATAAATTTTAAAAAAATATAGCATTGGAGTTTTGCAAGTAAGTATTTTGTATGTTTTTTGTTTTTTTTTTTTTTTTCAGGATTTAAATTTAATTCAATTTTTAGCAACAAAACCAATATAAATACACTATATAAATGCTGATATAAAAAAGAAAAAAACAGACTGCCCAAGATCACGAGACATATAATATATCAGGTATTTCAAGACTGTTCCAGGTTTTCATTGCTATTCAGGATCGCAACCAAAAATAAATAATTTTAAAAGAATCCTCCGATGAGCTCATAGGCTTGTGTACAGTTCTTGGCCGATGGCAGAAAATCGATGAAAGTCAAGGTTGACCCTCTGGAGCGCATCTGGCCATGAAGAAAAACGCTATTGACAAATGCGCAGTCTAATTCAATGCCACGTCCAGAGACAATGTGATCCCATACAAAGCGCCGTACGCATTAAGATAATACACGGACGCCAGCAACTTCAAATAAAGTACAGCATCTTTAAGAGTTTGAATGTCAGTGTGTACAAAACTTCACTTCACTTTTATTGCATTATTTTCTATTCTTTAAACTTCAAGTGCTTCCAATTCATCAACCAACCTCCAACTGGTTACCCCTGACCGTGATCAGAATGAGTCCCGTGATGGTTTATGGACTTAAAAACTACACAGAAGCTTTGGAGTTTTATTTATGACGCAACAATCCAGGCAATTTTTGAGGCTCAGAGAAGATGACTTTGATTTAATAGATTGAAACATGTGTGAATGAAGTAAAAGTACAACTCCAGGTATGTTTTTGATGTGGGGATAATAATATAACATGATATTAATAACAATTTGTGTGCTTTAAAAATAATTTAATATTTTTGCCAAAAATAATGAGAAATATAAGAGATATTTTCTGATAATTAATACTGTTTGATTTAGTAGTAGTTTTAGTTTTTTGTATTATTTAGAGTTTTCGAAGATTGCACTGGCAGTCAGGATTTCTGTAAAAAACAAACAGGACTAAACCAGGACTCAAATTAGGACTAAACCAGGATTCAAATCAGAACTAAAACCAGGGCTAAACCAGGTCTAAATTAGGTCTAAATCAGGTCTAAACCAGGGCTAAAATCAGGACTAAAACCAGGACTAGAATCACGTCTAAACCAGAACTAAAGCAGGTCTAAACTAGGTCTAAACCAGGACTAAACTAGGTCTAAACTAGGTCTCAACCAGGACTAAAATCAAAGACTAAAACCAGGTCTAAATCCGGACTAAATCTCGGTCTACTCTAGGTCTGAACCAGGTCTAAACTAGGTCTAAACCAGGACCAAACCAGGACTAAACCAGGACTAAACCAAGACTAAATCTAAGTCTAAACCAGGTATAAAGCAGGTCTAAATCCAGACTAAATCTAGGTCTAAACTAGGTCTAAACCAGGACTAAAACCACAACTAAAACCAGGTCTAAACCAGGACTAAACTAGGAGTAAAACCAGGACTAAATCTAGGACTAAACCAGGATAAAACTGAGTCTAAACTAGGTCTAAACCAGGTCTAAACCAGGACTAAAATCTAGACTAAAATCAAGACTAAAACCAGGTCTAAACTAGGTCTAAACCAGGACTAAACCAGGTCTAAACTAGGTCTAAACCAGGTCTAAACCAGGACTAAACCAGGTTTACAGTTGGTTTAAAACCAGGACTAAACCAGGTCTAAACCAGATCTAAACCAGGACTAAAATCAGGACTAAAACCAGGACTAAACTAGGACTAAATCTAGGTCTAAACTAGGTGTCAAAAAGGATTAAAACCAGGACTAAAACCAGGTCTAAACAAGGCTGACATTCACCCAATTTGAAACCCCCTGATCTCCGTAGAAACGAGCAGGTAACAGACCCCCAACCAAAAAAGTTACACGTTGCCCCTTCCAAACTGACTTCCTTCCTGCTTCCTCGCTCGCTCTTGCACCTCACTTCCTTTCGCGACGTCTTTCAAATCGTCTCGCGCAAAAACCCCGTGACCACCGTCCTCTTGACCTCCCGCTCGCATGTCGCCGCGCGTTCGCTTAATCGCCGAAATATGTTTCTTTCCAAGGACTCAACAGATGCCCGGCCGCACATAATAAACCCTAATCCCCGTTTCAGTGATATAGGACGCTTTCGGAACGCGCCGGAATGACTCGACGCGGCGCTAATCCCGCGAGCTAAAACTCATCAGTAGCGTTGGGGTGGTGGATTTAGATACAATCAGGCTCGAAGTACTTCTCCTTGGTTCAGGGGCAAATGTTCTATGAGAGCTCTTGTTCTAGTTAATGAAATTTGAATCAAAAACGGCGAGTGACTTTGTAGTTGAGATTAGGTCGGGATTAGCCAACGGAAAAGCGACACGAGTGGGTTATTTGTGTACGGGGCGAGCGTTCCAGACGGATAAAAATAAATAAATAAATAAATAAATAAAATCTTGATGTTTTGTGGCTTATAGATTTGTTTAGAGCAAGATAAATATTTTAAAAAATATCTATATATGTTCCAAAAGAATCTGTGTATTATTCGTTTTTCAAAATAAAACCAAATATAAGAAAATGAAGAAATAACAATTTAAACCAAAATTTAAAAATAGATAACGATTCGGGTTTTTTAGTTTTCAATCTTGTGTTTAAATGAATAATGGAAAAAAAAGACAATAAAAAAAAAAAAAAAACAATACCGGCTGTTTCCATGACTTAAACTGCGATGACGAACTTTTGTGCCACATACAAACTGATCTAGGACTGCACCAGGTCTAAACCTGGACTAAACCTGGACTAAACCAGGACTAAACCTGGACTAAACTAGAACTGAACCAGGACTACATCAGGACTAAACCAGGTCTAAACCAGGACTAAAACAGGACTAAACCAGGACTAAAACGGGACTAAAACAGGATTAAACCACTACTGAACCAGGACTACACCAGTTCTAAACCAGGGCTAAACCATTACTAAACCAGGACTAAACCAGGACTAAACCAGGACTACACCAGGACTACACCAGGACTACACCAGGACTAAACCAGGACTAGACCAGGACTAGACCAGGACTAGACCAGGACTAAACCAAGAATACAGCAGGACTACACCAGGACTACACAAGACTGAATCAGGACTGAACCAGGACTGAACCAGGACTAAAACTGGACAAAATCAGAACTAAACTAGGTCTAAACCAGGACTAACTTTGGACTTGAGAAAGAGAGAGATGGGACCCTGAGCTCGTGGAGCACAGTGTTGGTCCTTTTGCCTGCGATTGCCCAACGGTCTGCGAGGTGCACCTCTAAGTCCGTAACGACGTTCCACCCTGGTTCAGTCTTCCTGGTTTAGTGCTGGGATCAGTCCTGTTTAAGTCCTGGTTCAGTTCGTATGCAGCTCAAAAGTCAGGCATCTCAGTTTATGTCAAGGAAACGGGAAACGGCCATTATTTGTTTTTTCCATTATTCATTTAAACACAAAAACAAAAGCTATAAAAATGTTGTTTTAATTCTATTTAAATGTGCACGGCGTAACCTTCCATGTAGGTCTGTACGAAAATGACTAAACTAATAGACACATAAAACAAAACTAAATCTACTAAAACTAAGAGTGTCCCAAAATAAAGTCACCTAAACCCACAAACAGAATCAAGTCACAACTAAAAGTGTCTCAGCAAACACAAAATAAGACATGTACTAGCACAAAACAAAGTGACAGACACAAAAGAGACACACAAAATGACATATTTGCCCCGAAGTCCAGCAGCAATAACCTGCAACATCTGTGCTCCAATTTCTTTCTTTCGTTCTTTCGTTTTAATCCGTTTAACTTTCAGGTGATAGGCGCATTATACTCTAAATACAAATCTGTCTATGGTATAACAGTACTTCTTTTGCACTAATATACTTCATCTAGACAGTACAATGCAGATGTACTCCGTAACTGCTTCATGTATTGTAAAACGTCACAAAGCGGCGAAGATTGGACTTTATTTCCGGATTATCCCACGTTAAAGCGGCGTACGATCTCCCCGGGCGTTTTATTAATATAGGAATCTAAAGAGGAAGCCAAGAGGAAGCTAAAAGGAAGCTAATCATTTTTACCGACAGCGTGATTAAAGGAGAGGGCCTTGGCGGGTTCGGGGACATTTATTCCGGCCCCCTTTAAAGGTGACATAATACCGGTGGTGCCCGCAGAATGGCCCGCCTTCATGTAATCATGTTCCGGCTGCTACGGCCGATTTGTCAGCGGGCGGAGGAGAGAGGAGGAAGACGACGGGGAGGAAGGGTGGGGAGTCTTTAGTTAAATAATGTATCCAGCGTATAATGTTGTTACTTCATCGAAAACAGACCTGGAGTTGTGTTTTGTTTCATTCACACTAGGGATGGGCATGATTAGTCGATTAATCAAGAAGTGATCATTAAGAATTGCATCGATTACGTTAATTTTAATCAAAAAACCGAATGTAGGTTGCTGTGCGTAGAGTGACCAAACAGG